GATCAAACAAGTTGTTATTAAAAACAGATTCCTGACTGATAATATCCAGCATCTGGGAGCAGTGATTGCAGATACAAAATTGGTTTCACCAGGGGAGGTGGTTGTGGTGTTTGATGTTGAAATAGCCTTTGATAGAATAGGAAGATGAGCTGTTTACTGCAGATAGAATTCTGTGAATTTCTTGCACGAATCCATTAAAACTCTCCGTTTTATCCTGGGGGCAGTGGTGATAAGCCAGTATTTTCCAATATCATTTCTAATCATGAATGGGGAAGGTTAGGTAAACAAGTATTTCCCTTCCTCATCATTGCATTTCCTTGCTTATTACTGAGCGTTGGCAGAGTAGAACAGTCACCAGATTAATGATGCTTAAATGGATTTTTCTTTGTACAAGTTTTTTTTTTTTTTTAAGCGTGGAGTACTTAGTGCTATCAGCAGATGTTGAACAAAATCACTGTGACTTATCCTTGTTTTCTAAGCTGCCAAAAGATCTGGTAGAAGAGGGTGAGAATGGAGAGGATTTTAGCATCCCCTAGCCCTGAGACAATTATCCTTTTCCACTGGTGACTACGCTGAACTGCCTCTATGTGTTTGCTTTGCTTTTGGATGACAAATATAATGGCTGGAAAAAGATGTGAATACTTTGTGTGTTTCTGAAGCTGTATTTTTGTAATTAGTGCAACTTTGATGGAGTTGAACTTTTCCAGAGACAAAAGGTTAATAAATGTTCCCCAAGAATATGCTGAAGTAGGGCAACCAAACATGAGCATGCACTTGGATCATATCGCTGTGCTTAGAATTTCATTCTGTGCAAGAATTCAGCAGGATTTTTTACCCTTATTCTCACAGGTACTACAGTTATCAGACTTTAGATAGAAATAGAATGAATCCACAAAATGCTTCCTGCCCAAATTCTGATCAACCATCAGCTCAGCCATGTACAGCGTGGTAGAGAGGAAGGCAGACTGAGGCCAGGACTAGGCTGTCTCTGGTCTGGGTCACAGCAGCAGAATGTTTAGCTTCACTAAGCCTCGTGTGAGTTTAATGAGTAGACCGCATAGCATGGCTGGGTTGTGAGGCATGTGAAGTTGGTTCTCAAGCATGGAACTATGATAAATATTTGAAATAGTAATAGGCAATTTAACATATTAGTGGACAGTAGTTTGAATTTTCCTCAACAAGATTTTTCTTGTTCTAAGTTCTTTCTTAGCAAATAATGGTAAAACGTACGTTTCTAACCCTATTACCTTAGTGATTCCTGGTTCATATAAGTGTAAAGAATTTATGAGCAACAGAGGATGCAATATTCTGAGCCTGAGACCTTCTGCTCTCTTTCTCCTTTCTCATTAGCAGCAGCAGGCTCTCTAGAGCATCCCATAGATGTGCCGACTGTAGCTGCTCCTATGTGGGAAGGCCTCATGCTGCAGTGTGACAGACCTCCAGAGGGAAAAGACACTTAGCGTCTGTATGCGGTGGTTTTTCACAGATCAGCGTGCATCTGAATGTGATGCTCTTTCATCACCTTTTTTATTAAAAATGGTAATAGTCAAGGAGGAATGTCAGGTTGTGTTTTCTGACAATTTACAAAAAAGGAAGTACGGATGTGAGGTTTCAGAGCGCTTCTCTTTTACACTTCTTCACGTATAACTGAAGGAAAAAAAAAGCTGTGATTGCTCTGCGTTTTTGCTTCCTTTCTGAATGACTTGCTAAGGCAATTTCAGAGAAACTTCATTTTAGGTGAAATTTAAATTCTAATGCGCAGTGTGTGGATGTAAGTGAAGTAAATGAAATTGGCAGCATTTCTGTACAGAAAATAAAACCTACTGTTGCCCTAGAAAATTAGTGTTCTATTAGTGTTACGTAAATACTGGGAAGTACTGCTAAAGACAGAATAATGCTGGGTTTCAAAGCAAGCTCTTGTTTGAAGTTTCTATGTTCTGTGGCTGGCTTTTCCAGACCTTGTCTTTCTGTCAGACCTCCTGAGAGAGAGGTGCAGTGGAAGAGAAGGAGTTTTGCTCAGAACCTTACTTCTGAACCAGCCATGATAAATAAGCTGAAAGATTCACATCAACCTTTCTGAAATTGCTAGTAATCCTTCCTGTTGATGAACTTGGAAGCAATGTGGAAATTTTGCAGTTACTGTTGAATAATAATTTAAAAATAACTGAGGTTCAGCAGGCTTAAAATTTTTAGGAAAAAAATCATATGAGAAAATACTCAGTGAGAATATGAGTTCCCTTTGTGCACCGTGCTGCAGCTGCAGTGGCAGGGACAGGGATGGGGCTCCTGGCTGCTGGGTGACTGCTGGAAAAGGTTCTTCATCTTCACATTTGTACAGTTTGTTGTTTTTCCACCTTTTGTGGTAGGAAATGGCTGAAGAGCACAGTACGCTACATGGTGTTTAAATGTGAAATGTATTGAAATGCTTCGGGGCTTGGATGCTGCAGGGCTCATGCATAGCAGAGACTTGCAGGTGCTGCACAAGAGTCTCACAGGGGTGCCATTTTCTTTCTTTGTGGTGGAAAACTGGGGGAATTGAACTGTTGCAATGCAGGAATGTAACGTCTCTGTCACAGAAAGAACTTGTGTTTCCTCATCTACCAACTAAAATGCAATAACTCCAGCATAACTTCAGAACTGGGAAGCACTCAGAAGTGATGCCTCTGCAGGGGCACTGCCCTGAGCAGAGACCTGCACCAGCGCTGCCCTGACTCCTGGTCTCCATGCAGCCCCTTCCGAGTGCAGCCAGTGCGGGGGTGCTGACAAAATGGCGCCCAGGCTGGAGGCCGTCTTGCTGCACTCGGACTGACTGAGCAGGGCCTGGCTTTGTGTGTGCAGCTTTGGAAAAAAAAATAACAGCTAGGGTATTTTCTCAAGTAGTTTGGGGGCAGGAGAATGATCCTTTTGGTTGCTTTTTGATGCTTCTCATGCAGTTTGCCTCCCCCTGATTGCCACTGGGACTGAACCTTTTCCCGCCACAAACTGCAGCGTCCTCAGCTGTGTGGGGAGGATTTGTCACCTCACGGCAGAGCAAAATCCATGCTCAGTCCTCCCCTGAATATTATAGATGGAAAGAGGAAGCCTGTCAGGATGGTGAGGCTATTCTTAAACCACAAAAATCGCTCTGTAGAAAGCAGTTTTCCGGAACTTTCCTTAGAGACACATGGAGGGACTGTGCTTCCTGGTCCGGCCCCGTCTGCAGCAGAAAGGTAGGCTGTGTTTGTGCATACATAGTTGTGCTTAAATACAGAAATATGTGGTTTTTGGTCAGCTCTTGATATTCACATTGAAAATAGCCACGTGGCTGCTGCTCAGCAGCTTGCAAAGCTCAAGGAGAGGCTGTGAGGAGCTGTGGGGCTGGAGGCGTTGCCAAGCAACAGCAGCCTCCCATGGCTGGACCTCCTGGGGGCTGTGGATGAGGCTCTTAAAAATGTACATTTAAGACCATAGAATCATTTGAGTTGGAAGGGAACTTTAAAGAACATCTGGTCCAACTCCTCAACAATGAGCAGGGAGACCCACACCTTGATCAGGAGCTCAGGGCCCATCCAGTCTGACCTTGGGTGTCTCTGACTGGGCTTCCATCACCTTTCCCAGCAGCCTGTGCCAGTGCCTCACCACCCTCAGTGTAAACAGCTTCTTCCTCACGTCTGACCTAAGGTGTGTGTATGTACTCATATGTCATGTATGTATGCTTCTGGCTCACTGCTGCGTAAGGTGCATTACTCTATTATTCTAAAGGAATTTAAGTGCTGTTTTGCTGCGTGCTCTCTTTGTTTTATGCAAAAACAAAACAAAAAAAACAAACCAACCTTGGTATTTGGCAGCTCTTTCTGTTGGGTGCCAAATGCGGAGGTTTGGCTTTACAGATTGTATTGATATTTTTCACCCAGCTCTGCAGCTGTGCATGCTAAAAATATCTTTGGAAATAATTCAGCTAGGAAAAACCATTAACTACATAAAAGGATGTTATTTATTTCTAGGGTTTGAATTGCTGTTAAATTTCACCCCTTTCTGTTTTTCTTTCAAATATGCATTGAGTGCTCTGTATAATGTTGACAAGCATCTGGATGCCGTCAGCTAATGAGTCCTAGACAATGGTGTGTTGGTCTCCTCAGACTATATGGGATGGTGTAGTTACTGAGGTAGAAGAAATTTCTCAGAAAATAGGGAGAGCTGCCATGACAAGGATCATCCCTGCTTTATTAACAGTCTGAGTTTTATTAACAGTCTGAGTTAGACCTTTCTGTACGTGAGCTTTCCTTTCCCATATTCCAAGCGTGTGCTTTCATGGCCTTCCTGCCTTGTTCCTGCGTGGGCTCCAATCCTGTGTCTGTTCCTATAGCCTGTAGCAGCAGTAACGTTGTTTTTGCTGGGAACCATCTTGTGAGCTCTAATTTTCATCTGCCTAAGTGTGGAACTTCTTTTTTTCTTCTAAGAAATGTGTGGAAGTGAAATATTTTCTGCTCTGGGCCAAGGCTTCCAGCAGAAAAAAAAAAAAAAGGGATGTATGTGGTGGCAAGAAGGTTTGACTGAAGTGTACCTGTTCAGTCAGAACCCTTTGTGACAGACTATTAGACAAAGCAATGGTAGAAATACAAACTTGCCAGGAGAATATCCTTCTGCTTTCTGAATGTCTTGTGATATCTTTAGTGAATTGACTTTCTTAAACAAGAACCATCGGGAAGGTGAGAAGATGGAATCTAAGGTTTTCCCCAAATTTTTGTTTTTGCTGTTGGGCAGCTTTTCCTCAGCTATTGACTGTAGAGTTCAGGTGGGTTTTCAGTGCAGAATAAAGAATCAAAAAGAGAACTCACTACAGAAGTGCAACAACTAGATGGATTCTATAAACTTCTGACTAGATTTCTATTGTAAGTGAGGAATGACCAATACACAGCCTAGGTCCTAACTCCATTCAGCTTCAGTCTCAAATTCAGTCTTAGATTTGCAGAAGAAAGCTCTGCTTTGTTACATCAGTAATTCCTGCTGATCTGTCGCAGGATGTGTGCCTGTGTGAAATAGGGCAGGACTGAAGCTCTGAAGCTTTTGAGGTTTCCCTTTACTTCGGTAAGTATTTCTGGTCCTCTGCCTACCTTAGAATTGGACTTTAAATGTCAGATTTTTTGATCACATTTAAAAAGGTGACTCATTTTGAATGCTTTATTGTATGTTGGGCTGGGAAGGACAGATAATGGAGTTTTGATAACAAAACAGCAGAAAGTAGGAGCGATCTCATTATTGCATGAGCTGGAAAGTTAACATATTTATTAAAGTTCTGACAATTGTGGCAGTCATCCTTGCCTGTAAATGTCAGAGCATTATAAACTTCCATAGCTTTCTTCTTGTTTTTCAGACTCTTGTCAATCATCATAATTATTATGTAAATCGGCACAAACACTCATTATTTCTCTGCTGTATTGTTTTTAACTTTAATGTGATGGAAACTGATTTTCATTCTAGGAATATTTGACAACTACTTGCTACTCGATAGAATGCTGATGACAGCACTGGCTTCAAATCCTGGACACTGGTCTAATTGCCCGGCTCCGTCAGCCCTGCCCAGCTTTATTGCTGTTACTGCACATGGATTTTTACAAAATATTGTGATTAGGATAGTACGGAAACTTATATGTAGAAATCTGTTTTGCATCGTGCTCTGATTGCGTTTTTCTAATCCATATGCATAATATCTAACCTGAACTGTATGAACACCTTCTGCAGTAGCATGTTTCAAAACAAATTCTGGTGATGCTGAGGCTTCCCCAGCAGCTTACAGCTGCAGAACAGATACAATCCTTGAAGACTCTCACTGAAAGCTTTTCCCCCAGAAGAGGATAATAGTTCAACTTTTCAAATTTGTAAGATTCTTTTTAATTACTTTGTTGATAGTGCATCTAAAACTTTAAATTAATTAGTTTCTAAATCCTTGATTTTTTTTTTTTTTTTTTCTTGATTGAAGTTGGTGGAGATGCAACTACATACTTCAGTGAATGTAAGGACTGTAGAGGAGGCCATGGTGCTCTGCTGGGACAGTTCTGTATGTCATATCTGTCATTTAAAAGTTTCCCAGTAAATATGTTTTTCCATATTTATTCTGGCAAAATCCAACTGGAAAGGATGTCTTGAATTGGCACTGTGTCTTTATTTTCAAAGTCCTACTGATATTTGCATCCAAAAAGGCAGCATTAATTCACTAAAAATTACTTATAACAGATAAATCCTTTCTACTGTTTAGGCTGGTCTCTTGTGCACTCAGATGTGTGGAGTTCCTTGGAGCAATTTTCTCCTTTCTCATTGTAACATGTCTGCTTCAGTCTGGCTGTGCGAAGTAAATAAGGAAGTCTTGAGCTTTTTAAGTGCTGAAGTTCTGTAGTTCACAGTTTTCCGTATTTAAATATATGTACCAATCGCTAATTTTCATGTAACAGCTGAAGTGATTAAATAATTTGATTAGGCACACAACTTGATTAAGGAAAGCTGAATTTTTCATCAAGAGTACGAATTATAAAATACGTAGTCCAAAGCAGTTGAGTGCATTTAAAACATAAAAGAAGTCTGAATAGCTGAGATGTTATTTACTGGCTTTCCCGTCTTATGAGAATTGAATCACTTTGGGGTGAGAATTTTCTTATTAGCCATATGCTATTGAAAATCTGGCAGCATCCCTTTACTGAAGCCAGCAGCAAAGGTTTTCTGGTTGTCTGCGGGTTCAGAATTTCACTGACAGGCCATAAATGCTCAGGAAGGTTTCTCCAACCAGATCCAAATGTGATGAAAAGTAATCAGCAATTTGTCCCTGAACACAAACTTAGGAATTCCTGCTTTTTGGGACTTACTGGTAACATAGTTCAGCCTTATATTATCATGTAACTGTAGGGCATCCCATGCATGCATTTACAGAGTATGTATTTGCTGGAAGAGTTAGAATAATTATTGCATTTCTGTCAGGACTCCTTGCAGGGATCTTGCAGTCGGGGTGGATGAATTGGGCACTGTGGATGCTCTTGTGTGCCTTTATGTCAAAGTGTAAGCGTGATTTGGAGTTGACAATAAACGTTCCCTGTCTCGTGCTGGAGGAGTTTCAGTATGGAGCTGTGTTGTAGAGGTACCTAGGTGTGCCAGGGCCATTTTTAATAGCTGATGTACCTTGAATATTACATTCCCAGCGTTTTTCCTTCTGTTCACCAGACTCTATTCTGAGTGGTACAAAGCAATGACACTGAGGGTGCCACGTGCTGCTCTTACTGAACATATCTTTGTTCGTTCTTTGTTTTAAGGCTGCTCAGTCCTAGAGTAGGCAAATCCAGATCTGAATAAACTCTGCAGTGGAAACATACCCAACAAGCCAAGCTCCTTATGCCTAATTAGGTAACTGATACTGCTACGTGGCTAACTTAAAGGAAGAGCATGTTTAAGTTAGACTGAGAGGAAGTGGGGTGTTTAGTTTAATTTCTTTTCTTTGTCTTGCTACAACTTATAATAGGAATGTTTTGTTTTAAGAAGGCTTTTTGTTCATTATCGCTGGCTGCAGTTACCAAAAGACAAAGAAATGGTGCCTTGGTCCCATGAGTTTTATGTGTGCTGAACACCTAAATTCAGATAACTAAAATGTTAGTTCATGTGGAATAAATAGAACAACATGGTTAAATAGTGAACTAAAAGCCACAATATGTTGGCAAAATAATAATTATTAATTTATTAAGTGTAATGTGAATCTTGTCATTGCTAGATGTAACCAGCAGCCACATTTTATTGCTTTATCATTCACCTGTTAAATGAAGTCAATGAAGACTGGCAGCTTTTCCTGTCTAGTCACTGGCAATTAGCTTAAATCTTTCGCTGATGACTTTGTAGTCTCAATCACTCTTATAATACAAGTTTGTCTTGTACAAATTAAGAAAATAGGGGGTGAAGGCTTTGACTTACTAATGAGAAAATTAGGCAATTTACATATTCTTTGTAAAGGTCTGGATGATACCAGCATTACAGGTAGTGACAGTCATCTCAGCAGCATTGACACACCATGGTTGGGATGCCTGGTAGTGAAACATGGTATGGTTACAAAGTACTGTGGCTGATGAGGCTCTAATTCCACCTGAGCGCTGATACCATGCCATAACACACTGGCCAAGGGGTGGGTTCCTCTGAAGGGGCGTCTGCCTTATTCTTCTGCTAAGCTTCACTGATCATCTTTACTGGTTCTGCAGTGCATCATTTTCTTGCACATTGTAATTTGCTGTAATTTGTCTCTGTGTAGCTCTGAAGGTTTGTAGTACCTATGAAGGATTTGCCCCAGTGTGTTTGATCAGTGGTACTTGTGACTTGACAAAAAATTAGAATCAGCTGTTCCTTTCCACATAATGCTTTCCCTTTATGTATGTGCTGCTTATATTTTCTGCCTTGGGAGTGAAATCCTGTGTGAGAAACAATATTAAGTGAGTTAAAGCCTTCTGTAAGTGAGTTAAGCCTTCTACTAGTTAGAGGAAAACTGTATTTTTGTACTGTAGTCATTCATGTCCTTACAGACTGCTCTACTTTCACATTGGCTAACATACCATTGATGGAAATAGGAAGTGCCATCCTGAAGAAATAATCGCTTTTGTTTGCTGAACAATTGGTACAAATGACAGGAATGTATAAACCTGTTTTAGTTGTCTTTGTTAAAGGTTATGATGGGAGATGTCTGCTTTTTTTGGTTTGAAATTCACAACACTGGAGTTGTATCAGTGACTGAAGATCTAGGCGTGCTGCATCAAATTGTGCCTGGCTGCCCTGCTTCACTCGCTGCTCTCCCTGTCTGCCTACAAGCCTGAGCAGATCTGTGATGTCTGTGTTCCTGATGAGCCATCTGGAAACTGAAACCTCAATGATATGAAAGTGTTGGAAGGATTCAATGTCTGTAATTGATACTTCTGTGAAGTCTTGTGCTGCTGTGCAAATGATTAACAGGCCTTTGAATCAGGTATTTGTTATATAATTACAAATTGTTAACCCTTAGAATAACAGTGATGTTTAATGGTGCTCACGTGATTCTTACTAAGTGGTATCTATGTCACAAGTATTTTCAAGTGCTACCGAAGGAAAATTAAATAGCTGGGAATTTGCTCTATAAAATTTATTCTGCTTTTTGTATCTATTGGGGTTTTCTTGGAACAAAGGAGGCATTACTTTCAGAGCAATACTTTTTCTCTACTTATAATGTCAAATGCTTTGAGATGATTAATCAGACCATTTTAGTAAATTACTCTGACCTTGTCATTTACTTTAAAAGCAGGCTATACATCTAGACCTCATTCTTGTTCCTTTTCATTAAGGATGTTCTCCATTTACAGACTGTACACAGGTTTGTTTTATGATTTTTCAGTGAGTTGAAAGCTGTGTGTGAACAGCTGCCTCTGCAGGAAGGATTTGGGAAGAGAATGAAAAAGCAATGAGTAGTTCTGGTAAGGTAGGCCAATATCATAGATGCATTTATCATCAGCAGTGGCTTTTTTCACCCCTGAAGATTACAAATGTTATGTTAAATGATTCTGCAGTAAGATTTTGTATGTGTGTCCATACAAACACTTGAATACAGATATGTGCAGAGATTTCCAGATTCAGTGCTCAGTTTTGAACAAGACCCGTCTTGCTGGAACTTTCTTCCAACCCTTAAATGTTTCAAAAAAACATGCCCTGCCCTCTCCATTAAAACAGCAGTCCTGTACCTACTTCTTCCTGTTTATTTTCTTTAAATCCTAGACTAGAACTCTCTGTACAGGTGAGGGAGGGAGGACAAATTTCCTCTGCACAGAGTCCTGTCTGCAAACTTCATACTCCGAATCTTGAGCTTTCTCTCTTTTTAAGGAGACAATATAACTTTAAGCTCACTGATTGTATTTTGGCTGTATGCCTTCAAATAAAATGACACACTTCCAAATAAGCAAGTGTACAAACAGGTGGTTTTCATACCATTTCATTTCATACCATTTCATTTCAAACGTGATTTACCATCCAGTACATCATCTCACGACACAGCAGTGACAGCATTTCATGATCATCAAAGGGGTAACGTTTCAGGCTTCTGAGACTCTACTAAGGTTATTTTATATATTTTCTTGAACATATTATAAAATAGATGATTTTCTACTCATTTCAATGTGCTATATTCTTTCACGTTGTCATGGAATTGACCTCAGCACATTCTCTCTAGTTTCTTCAGGCTTGGTGAACCATCTACTGTTCAATCGCTATTCACACACAGTACGATCTGATTGACAAAGGATGAACTGTCTATGAGATCCCAGGCCTGAAGATTACCTTCAGTGATTTAAAGGGCACTTAAAACTAGAAGCAAATAATAAAGGTGTTCTGAATCCTGAAGCAATTGATAAGAGCAAGTCATCTGACTTGATGAAGAGGTAACAAATATTAAGCCTCGCCACTTATGATTTCTTTTTGTTCCATGTCTGCCTTTATCTGCATTCTAGAATTTGAATTTCAAGATAAATAGACCAATAGCCCAAATAGCACAGCATTGCCACTCTTGTTTTTCTCTCTCTTCCCCTTCTGTAATTGCTACTACTCCTATGTGAGAAGAGCTCGTTGTTTCTCTGACCCAGCTGGAGGTGACATGGGAATGAACAGCTCTCTCTTCTTGCAGCTGTTGCCATATTCAGACTGTGGGAGCTTGGAAGTCTAGTGAAATGGTGTGGGAAAGGACAAATACTTTTAGCAATGAATGTTCACATATGGGCCAAAGTTGAGAGGGAGGTGCAGTAATTTATGTAATGGTGTGAGAATAAGCCTTCTCAGGGGTTGCTAGAAATATATGGCATTTCTTAATAGCTGCTTTCTTCTTATTGACATCTCTTTAAAAGGTGAGTGTGTGTGTGTGTGTGTGTGTGTATATGCTTGATGTCATTAGTAACTACTTCCTCTGGG